TGATGTCTACTCCCGCTATGAAATCAATGCCCTCATGAAGCGGGAAACGGAGGAGGAAGAGTTGGGCATCCTTGAGAAGCAATGGTTCAATGTCTTTGGAGCCCCAGAAAAGGTCAAGACCGATAGCTCAGGAGCACACATGTCCGAGTCCTACCAGCAGCGTCTGAATGACTTCGGATCCAAACTCCTGTTGGTTCCAAAGGAGGCTCACTACAAGATGGGCATTGTGGAGCGTTTGCATGCTGTCAGGCGACTGCAACTCCTGAAGATGAAGCGCGACTTCCCAGACTTGGAGTTGTCTCGTGCCATAACTTTGGCATGCCAGCAGCGGAATCGTCTCCGTTCGGTCAATGGGACTTCACCAAGCCACATCGTCTTCGGCACCGCTCCACAGCATCCAAAAGGACTTCTGGATGAACCCTGGGACAACCGTCCTGATCTTCCCTCAGCAGTGCAAGAGGACCATGCTTTGAGATTGACTGCAGCCCGTTGCTTCTACGAGGCTAATCACGATCAAGCTCTGCGTCGGGCGCTTCTAGGTCGTCCTCGCTCTGAACCTCCTGTTTTTGAGATTGGCCAATGGGCATACTACTGGAGGACGACCGATGAAAAGCTTCAAGTTCAGCGCTGGAAAGGCCCAGCGCTCATTTGCATGCTTGAGCCCTCTGCAAATTCTGCCCGCACTACTTGTGTTTGGTTGGCCCATGGTGCCAGTTTGGTTCGAGCAACCATTGAACATGTTCGCTTGGAAAACCCCCGTGAAGCTGCAGCTCGAATTGCCACCATGCCCGACACCATTGCCTCACGCCCGCTTCATCAGCAGGTGACGCAAGCCTTGCGTCCTGTGCGGGGGCCTGTTCGATTTCTGAATCTTGGGGGACCCGGTTCTTCTGACGCCTCACCTGAACTTCTTCTTTCTCCTGAGAGTGTTGTTCAACCTATGGTGCTCGACAACCCTCCGAATGACATGGAACAGGCTGAGTCCAAAGAGGTCGTGATGGATGAACCGGCAATGGCCGACCATGATGATGATCCTGGGGCAAGTGATGAAGCACAAGCCAAGGCAGAAACAGACAGCGGCAGCCACGAACCAAGCACACTGCAGCAGCCGCAGACACAAGCATCGGCAGCAGCAGACACACATCGGCAGCAGCAGACACATACCACCAAGGAAGAAGAAGCCCCAAAGGATCGAGAACGGGAAAGATCCCGAAGTCCACCACCAAAAGCAGCTGCATTGCAATCGTATAATTTGGCACGAAAGCTTGATGGCATGCCCCAAGTCGATAGCAGCGATCCTCGTTTTCTCTCCTACATGAAGTCCATCGATGAGGAGTTGATCGCTGACGCCATCAATGAGAAACATCTGTCCCCTGAAGACAGGAAAGCTTTCGATGAAGCCAAAAACAAAGCTTTGCAAGTTTGGATTGACAATCAAGCTTGGCGTGCTGTGGACCGTTCTGAGGCCCAAGAAGGTGAACTCGTACCAGCACGCATGCTTCAACGATGGAAACCAACAAAAGATGGCAAAGTGGCGAACTGTAGAGTCATCATCCAAGGTTTTCGCCATCGTGATGTCTTGGAGAGCGAGCTTGAGAAAGAAAGCCCCACTCTGTCTCGCATTGGTCGTATGTTGATCATGCAATGGACGTGCCAGCTGCAGTTCAAGTTGTTCAGTGCCGGTGTGAAGTCCGCTTTCATGCAGAGCGACTCAATCGACCAGGAGACTCGCATCTACATCCAACCTTCAGCTGACATGAGGAGGAGGCTCTCGTCCATGATGGGCTTGCGTGATCATCAGGTCCTGAAAGCCACGAAACCGGCGTTCGGAGACGTTCGAGCTCCACGGCAGTGGTACCAAACGGCTGACCACTACTTGACTGAGGAACTGCTGATGGTTCACCACCCGCTTGACAGGTGCATCTACTTGAGTGTCAGAACAGCAACCAAAGACGACAACCCCTTCCAGGTGTTCTACAACAAAGAGAACGAAGCCCTCATTGTCGATGGCTACCTGGGTCTACATGTCGATGACTTCATCGGTGCCGGCGAAGGCATCCAAAGTCCACAAGACGTGCAAGGATTCGAAGCCACTGATGAAGCACCCACTTGCTTTGCTGCTCGTCTTCGCCTTCTTTCGCAGAGGTTTCGCTTTGGAAGTTGGGACTTTGGTGAACAAGGTCACATGTTGTTCTGCGGCACCGAGGTGAAGCAGGGATTGAACTGGGATCAAATCACCCTATCCTTGAAGCAGTACATCCACCGCCTGAAGCCAGCCACCTTGGAGAAAACAAGAAAAGCAACACCTGAAGCTCCACTTGATGAGAAAGAGCACAGAACTTTGCGTGCCATCATTGGCGCCTTAGCTTGGCCAGCAGGACAATGCCTACCTCAACTTTCAGCTTCAATCAGCATCCTGCAAGCCAGCGCGAGCTCACCGACAGTTCAAGATCTTTTGACTGCAAATAAGGTCCTTCGTTTTGCCAAAGAAGTTGTCCAGAACTATGTCCTGACGCTTCGAAAACATGGCAGCAGTCTGGCCGATCTGCAGTTTGGTGCATATACAGATGCCTCTTGGAGTGTGAGACCCGATGGTTCGTCACAGGGAGGCTACTTGCTTTTTGTGGCCTCTGCAAACGAGCTCGCCTCTGAGAAGCCAATGGCTTTGACCATTCTGGATTGGCAAAGTCGGAAACTGCCTCGCATGTGCCGCTCATCTTTGTCCGCCGAGTCACAGGCTTCGTCTGCAGCAGTTGATGAGCTGGAATGGTTGAAAGTCTTCGCTGCAGCAATGGTCGATCCTTTCATCAACATCTCGGAGGACAGCACCATGAGCAAGTTTGGACCCTCACCGTTGATAACAGATGCAAAGTCCTTGTTTGATGCAGCGCGCTCAGTCTCGTCAGGGCTACGCCTTTCTGAGAAAAGGACCGCCATCGAGGTCACCATCGTGCGTGAAAGGCTTGAGGCTCTCGGCGGCCATTGGCGCTGGGTCAACTCGGCTCAGCAACTGGCAGATGGCTTGACTAAGCCAACCTCACGAGAGAACTTCGCAGAACAACTCCGTCGTGGTGTTCACCAGTTGAAGTTTGACCCCACGTACACAGCTGCGAAGAAGGTTGGTCGTGACGCCAGAAACCAGGAGCTTGAGGAGCATGAGGCCGTGTCCAAGCAGCTTTTTGGTGAAGCACTCCTTGGCGAAGTGGTTCATGATGAAACTGTTTGTTTGCTCCCTGAATGCAACAAAAAGGTGGAGAAGAAACATGGACATGAAAAATACTGCAGCCGACGGCATTTTTACAAGCACCGCCACAGGTCAGAACTGCTCAATGATGATGTTTGGAGAAAGTCCGCCCTGACTGCATGTGGTATTTTGACATGTGAAGCTTTGCCAAAAGCTGCAGCCCTACAGGTCCATGTGGAGATCGAAGACGGAGATGCTTTGAAGTTCTTTTTCACGTTCATGATTTTGGTGCTCTGTTTTTCCTTTGGCTTGAAAGATCATCTCCAGCAGGTCCTTTTGACTATGTTCAACTGGGTCATTCACCCGCCAGTTGAGAATCAGGCTGAAGAGATCTTTGAGCCTGAAGCTGAGGATGCCACTCGACGCCATGAGATCCTGAACGATAATGACCCCGCGATTCCGGAGATTGAGAACGATGGAGAAGAGCCTGAAGTTGAAGATTCTCCTCACAGGCATGATGCCGGCAGTTCCACGGTCAATGATGACACTGACCTGGACGATGAGGAGTGGGCTCGTTGGCAGCGCATCAAAGCTGCAGTCATTGAGGAGCCTTCCCAGCATTTCTGGCGAAGAAGGCTTGAAAAGGCCAGAGACTTCCGGAACAAGGAGGTGGACATTCACACCCGAACGATCGTGGTGAACGAAGACTTCACGAATTCCAGAATTCGAAGGTACAAAGAAACACATCAGGTGGAAGACACCCACCATGTGACTGAGGAGGAGATTGCTTGCTGGAACCGCCAGTTCAACCGCTCCCTGAGGTTCATCTATGATGCTGGTTGGCATGTGAGCCTGAAGCGGAAAGAGAGAGACGAAATGGAGTACACCGAGAACCTGGTGACGCGGCTGAGTTTCTTTGAAGTGCACGACAAGATCGTTCAGACACCGCTCACTTTCGATCCAAACCTTGGTCGAAACCAGTTTGTGACAGCAAGGCCACATGAGCACGGAGCCTATGAGTTCCACAACGATTTCTATCCTCACATCCGGTGAGGAGAAAGAACGAGCCAACGAGAAGATCACATGAAGGGCCCGACGTTTTTGAATGTTTTCCAATTTCTTGATTTTCACCGGTGATGATTGAACTGTGTTCGATCGATGCATTTCATGTGTTTGAGGACATTCCATGTGTCCGTTGCTCCCTTTGGGCTGACTAGGGCCCTTGAGCCGTCGACTGGCTCGACCTTCGCCCGTGCGGTGACAAATTGATCCAGGTCCACGCTTCGACGTGTTTCGACATTCACTGTGACTTCGTGTGCATTGTGATTGGTACTTTTTCCCAAGCTACCACGAGATTTAATTTATAAGTGTAGCCTGCTGTTGCGGTGTGATGGAGAGCGCTACAGCTATTTTGCAATGGACCAAAGGCATACACGATTTGTCCAACAAAGTGTACATTGTGTCGCTCATCTTTATTGTTGTGCTCGGATAGCCCTCTTTGGGCTACCTACAGCTATGCATACAGCGATGAATTCATACTATGCCAGTTACTATGCCTACACACGATGCATTTGATCAATGCTGCTATGCATGTACACTAAGACTAAAGCTATCTATACATGTTAACGTGTCCAAAAAAACAGTAAAAGTAACCAAATCATTGAGGCTCAGGCTTCCCAGTCCAAGATAATAGTTGCTACTTCAGCTACTAGTAGCTACTCCAAATACTTATTTAGCTACTACTTAAGCCTCCTCATACAGTACCAGCAAACCCCGCCCAACAAAGAAAATGCACCGCTACAGGGCGGTCCCGTGCCTTCTTTAGGAGCTCACCATTGCCTGACTCAACTGACTCAAGGCAAAGGCCTTATTAAGGCCAGCTGTCTTCAACTGCTGCTGCCTTCTTGTATTTGTTGTCTCTCTGAAAATGGCTGGAGAAGGCAAGTGCTGTGATTTGCCCTTCACTTGCTTGCGTGAACATGTGATGGTTTGCATGGTAAAGCTTTCGCTCGCCCTCTCACCTTCTGCCAAGCCCCGCGAAGCTTTCGAGGCTCCTTCAATGTCGCTCCACTCCGATCGCCGCTCATTGACCTGTGATAGTATGACCATCTGACTTCTGTTGTGGGTGGGCAATGTAGACTTTTCCATCTGGCTGTGAAAAGAACAGTTGGCGGGGAGCCATGGGGTGCTCGATACTCACAACTCCTGGCCATTCGTCAACGGCCCCACATCTTGCTTTGATATGTGATCTGTTTCGATCCCCCAAGGTCGATTCCCTCAAGAAGTGTGCGACCTGCTTCTGCAGCTCGCGTACTTTCTTCTTCTCTTCTTTCAGCTCACGCCCCTGCACCGCATGCTAGGAAATGCTAGGAAGATGCAGGAAGACCAGCATTCATGCTGAAACCCCAGAGGCTAGCGGTAACGAGAGGATGCCACCAAACACAATATGCGGTCCAGAGTCTACATATATGATCCGCATGATGCCAAAAATGCGGTGCCTTAAACTTTAGGCCCGGCCAAGCTCTTCAAGGGGCTCCAAGGTGATAGCCCTTTACATTTGACACGAGGACTATCAATGAGAGCTCTCATCAACATTGAGGATCCTCCCACGGCATCAATGCAAAATGGGATCCTTCGCGCTCTGATCGTTTTGCTCAGTCTTTCCAAAGAGCTCCTGCAGTCTTCAATTGACTCAAATCTCAGGGGGTCCTTCTAGCTTGGCATCATCCAATTGCATTTTTGTTCAATCCATTCTTGCGCCGCGTGGCAAGGAGATTAACATGAATGAGAGCTCCCCTTGGCCCATGAAAACTAGATATAGCGCTTGATTGTGACTTGTGGTAGTTGCCCCCAGCGGCGAAGTCCTTGATCTTCTGCCTTTCTTCAGGTGTGAGATCATTCCCTTTGTTCCTGATGACTTTGATCAAGTCCTGGCAGCCCCATGAAGAGCATAATTACTGGGCAGTTTGTGTCTCTCTTGGCATCCATCGATCGAGGAAGACTGATCCTCCATGGTAGTAAGCTGCTCTTGAATTTGTAGATTTTCACCTGCAAAGCCCAACGGCCCAACGGAAAAGCAAATGGCCATCCCCAGTATTCCAAATCTATACACTGTTACCTTGCCCTAGGCATGCTGCAACAAGCCTGTATAATTCATACGTAACACTGTCAGGATGGAAGAATGAATAAGTCTCAGCGAAATGGTTGCGAATTTTGCCTGTCGGTGTTGATCTCTCCAGCCAGGGCTTTATTGTATATATATATATATTATATAGTCCAAACGAAAGCGGGCACGCACTCTGATCACAGCTGCACTCGGTAAATTGCCTTTGGAGTAGACATTGATACAGTAATATTACAATATTGCACAAGCTCTGCGGACAATGTCTTCTACAGCTGCATGTGGAACTTGCTTTAGCAAACGTAAAAAACAATTACCTGCTATTGCCTACCACAATCTCGGGATATGTTTCAGCCCGAGCAAATCCCGACAAGCCTTGTGCATTCAAAAGTTCCTGCATAAGCTCCTGAGACCATACATTCTGGCCAAGCAGACTCCACAGTTTCCTTCATTCATCCTTCTTGTGTCACTTGCATTCACTTGAGAGTGTTCTAAGTACTGTGTGGGCTAAACCAAACACCCTGCGATGAGCACTTTTGCATTCGATCCCTCCTTTAAAACCATCTTTGCTTCCGCCAGCTCACGTTCTTGTATATTCCGCATGATCTTCCACTATCTTCCAGAAACGGTACAGGTGCGTCAAGTGACCAATCCCAAAAGAATTAAGGTTCAGTCTTGCAACCAAGTTGCAGGATCGATCTGCTTGTTCCGGAGATCCTCACTCCGCATTGGAAAAGCGATACAATGCGATAAAGGTGCATGTGTGCTTGACGAGGTAATCATAATCAAAACGTTTAACAAATCTGGGGATCTCACGTCCAACATTGATTGCGGATCCATTTGAGAGGCTCGCCGATGTGCCAGATTTGCGCTTGGGTTTGCTGCAATGCTGACTGCAGCATAGTCAGAATTCAAGCCAGTTGGTGACTTGTAAAGTAAAACCAAACCAAGTTGTTTGTGACAAGTGATCTCAAGTTAATCTCAAGCAAGTGTTTTCTTGTATCGAGTGATTTCTGATGATCTCTCACTTGCAGTTCAGCTCCCCCACCTTCCACCTTCCCTTTGCCTCCTTCACTGTCTTTATTCTTCTTAAGGATTCCGACAGGGCCAGAGCTTGTGTGCTCCAGCACAGGCGGCACAGAGCCGCGGAGATTTGTCAGTTCTTCCCGCAACTGCGAAATGTGGTCCTGCCAAGGAACCGGGAAATCAAAGAAACAAATGGACTCAAAATGGTCAAGCATTCCAAAATCTTCAAATGCAGAAGTCCCTGCCGAAATGTTGTTCAAATTGCTCCAAACAGCCCTGCACTGCAATGCATATATTCTGAACATATTTCTTGGCTATCTACCCCTACTTCCAAGGCAAACAAAATGCCAATGCATCTTGTTTGTCTGTCAATCCTATACATCTCCTGTTTCTTCTGGTGCTCGGACTTCTTGTCTTCAAGAAGCGCCGATGTGAGATCCTCGCTGAGACTTTCTGTGCTCACCTCTGTTTCCATGACCTGCGGCACAAACCCAGCACACCTGACTTCAAGCTCATGGCCTCATGTCTCTGCTACCCAGTGTTCTGGTGCGTTGATGACCGCCAGAGTCAGGAGCAAGCTTGATCAAGTGCTCTGAAAGGTGCTGCATCCGCACAAAGATCCTTGTATCTCAAAACTAGATCCAGCCACTGCCTTGGAAAAATGCTGGGCAAGTCTTTGTACCTTCTCTCTGGACTGCTGCACTTCCTTCTCAAGTTGTTGAAACTCCTGAAACAGGCTTCTTTGGTCGACAATGTAACTGTTGCAGCTTGCACATTACATGAGAATGATGTGCCCAGAAATGGATGCCTCGCGTGAAAAACTCATTCACGATGCAAGTTCCACCACTCATGTCGCTTGCATGACAAACGACACAAAAAATCCTCCTGAAGCTGAAGTTCTTCGGGCCTTGGGGCCGTGAAAAGCTTCGTTTTGCCGAATACTTCTTGAATCCAAGGGATGCATGAAAGCAAGGGAATTACGACGTATATTATGATACATCAACCAATGGCGAACTGGAAGCCTACCTCCCAATACGTGTGATCAAATGATGAAGGGCAGGACATGTCGACAAACACCTTCCACACTTTACCACAACTGACCACCATGCGGTGCAAGCAAGCACAAGTTAAAACATGTTAAAACAATGTGTCGCAGCGGTTATCTCAGCGTTTGACGAAGGCTTCTTGGCAACCACTCTTGCAGGGGCCCTGCTGGCAGGTCTGAACAGGACAGGAAATGATGGTGTGCTCTTCACTAACAGTTCAAGAGCTTCACAAATGATTGCTCACGGAAGCCACCTGTCGACCTTGGTTGGCTTGGACTCCTGTCAGGACAGGGGCTTCCACAGTTGGGCTGGCAGGTATCTATATTTATGTGTATTATATGCACTAGGCACCGGCATTTGGTACTAGGCACCGTGACGGCAACGTAACTGTGTCGTCTTTTTCCAGCGTCGCAGCGTCGCCGGCACCACACTTCCTTTGGAAGTGTGCCAAGTCTGAAATGACTTAACAATCTTAACATTAACATGATGCACAAAATGAACCCCGATTTACACCAAAGACCGTGAGCCATCCTAGCTTCAGCCACTTTGGGCAATGCTTTTCAAGAGCAGTTAAAACCATTCGATTCAAGACCAAGCCTTCCGCTGGGCAAGTTAAAACATCCACGACGTATTTGTTCATTTTCACAAGGCACATCCCTACTTTTCAAGTGGCCTCATCTTCACTGATGTCCACAGCAATAGAATGAATTGAAGTGGGCAAAGATGGAAGCGACGAGGAGGCACTCCTAGGCCATGTGCGCCACACTAAAGGTGCGTGCTGCGTGCTGCTTGGGTATGACCCTCTGACTTGTTCCGACTCCAAACATCCTCACTTGCTCCTGGCCCTACTAGTAACTAGGGGCTCCTGGCATCGCTACTAGGAGCAAGGACGCTACATGACGCTACTAGGGGCTCCTGGCCTTACTACTACTACAGTAGGAACAAGAACGCTACTAGGAGCCTTGACCCTTCAGCCACCAATCAAAGGATCTCACTCTTCTGCCGCTTCAAAGCAGGTGCACCAGGCTTGGAGGACTGCACAAAGCGCATCAGGCTGTCATCCAACCTTGCACTTGTCAGCCCTCTGTGCATGTCTGTACATGTAAAGCACTCCAATGCAGAAGGGCCCAGCATTCTTCGGAACTTTGGAGACTTAGACTTGACACAAGGTCCACCTTAGGTTGCTACAGTGAATTGACAAAAAAAAATATATATAGCTGGTACGATATCTGCTAGCTAACATGACACTACTCTCCTGCTCCCCCCTTTTCCATGGCCCTGCCAAGGCAGCTTTATCATCTCCACACGGCAGGCAAGTCACTCCCTTTGTTCTGGTGGTCGATATGCCAAGCCCAAGGCTTCAAAAACATCTGCCTCCTCAGTCACAGGCACCTGGCAAAATACAATTATTGCAACTGTGTAACCAATCCAGAAAAATCCATCAGGTCTCAGACACTCTTGCCTGTCCCGCCTGAACTCCTTTGCCAGTAGCGTCTCGTGCTAGAAGCTGTGTGGAGCTGATCTTTAGACCTGAACAGAGTGTAGAGTAAGAGTATAATTACTGGCCCATGTGGACACTGACTGTGATATTCCCGCGGCCTGAACTATCCCTAAGTTCCCTAAGCCGGTCATGGAATACCCAACGGGCCGGGCAAGCGGCAGAAATCAGAGGACATGTGTCATATCTGAGCCAGTGCGAACCTACTCCACCGTTTCAGGTCACTGGGGGTTACAAGACTCCAATTGTTTGGTAAGTTTCTTTGTGGAGTTGGACTGAGTGCTTGAGTACTCAAAGAAGTTCAATCAATTGGTGAACTCACATACTTGCGGACTTGCTACCATTGGTGTCCTGCCATTCTCTGAGCAAAGTTTGCTTGACGAATGTGACATCGAAAGCAAGATTGGCAAACTGCCCAAAGTGCCGAGAAATGGATTCATGACATTGTAGTCTACGTGATTACATGCAGAAAATATGCGGCTAGGTATATAGAATCTAAACATGTCTATGTCTAAACCCACTATGGCAGCAAAGTATCCAATGGATGATTGTCCCAGATATACGTCGTGAAATTCTTAGATGGTTGACATTGGGAGTGGCTGAAAATTGAGGTTGCATTCTTAGGAGATCAGTCTAAACACTCGTTCGCTCTGTGAAAACAAAAAAAGAAGATCGAGAACATGTGCGGGCCTTTGTAGCTTGCCAGGCGGTGCAACTCTCTCAGGAAAAGGCCCGAGCCCGTCCAGTTGAGCAACACCAGCGGCAAGTGCTCTCTCCGTGAGAGGATGAGGTCCATTCGCCTGGGCAAGCAAAGCTTGCTCAAAAACCAAATACAGCAAGCAAGGTCCCACCCAATGCAGTCCCTAAGCGCCTGTAGAGATTTCCATCTGCAGGCAAGCGAAAGATTCCCAAATGTGTTTCTTCTCCGTCCTGGGCAATTGGAAGGGTCGAAAGTGCAATTATCTCATTATCATCAGGTATTCTTGTTAAAAGACGTCTCAAACATCTGAAACTCCCCATACTGCACAGCTGGGTGTCGTCATATGGTGAATTTGGAGCGTGACCACCCAGCTCCTCCTGGTCGCAGAAGGTGAAAGAAACGTACTTACTTGGTCACAAAAGCATCTAGCGCAAGATGCTGAGAGTGCATTCAGACAACGAAACGTTGAGCCTAATGATTCTAATGAAAAATCTCAGAGAGCAAGATGAAGAGAAGGAATCAAGGAGACCGCAATCTGAATCTTGGACAGCTCTTGGCACTTCCGAGAGCCTTGGCCACACCCATGCTTCGCAGCTCTGCTAGCAGAGGTGCTAGGCCTAGTGGCGGAGAATCTGTGAAGAGTTTTGCAGTGTCTCGTCCGTGACACATTCAGCGGCAAAACTTTGAGTGGCTGTCACTATGCCTGGAAGTTCCCAGAGTCCGTGTTGAAGAACATGTGATTACACAAAGTGTCATGCTAGTTGTAGAAAAACACATTCTGACAAACTTCCAACTTCATCTCACCTACACAGTGAAGAATCCCACTAGCATTGAAAGTGGTAGACTCGTAGACAAATGGAAGGAGGCTTTAAAAGGAAGGATGGTCAGAACCTGTCGGAGCTATATAGTATTATATACAGTTGAAAATCAAAACCAAACATAGAGATAAAACATTGATAAGACCTGTGGCCTCCAGCAAGCACACATCCATGGCATGGCGCAATAACAAGATCAATATCTGACATGCTTTGCGCTCCTTGGTATGAATATTGAGGGCTGGCTGAGACTTCAATTCAGAATGCTCAAGACATTGTGTCAAGACTGTTAAGATTGCGTACAAAGCTCCACGTCGCATGGAGCCACATGGGATGAGCTCCACCTGAGATCAGTCTGGTGCTGTCACTGAATGGTGTTATGATGTTGAAGGACACTGGATGACACTGGTATCTGTTGGTTGGTCAATTGACCTGCGCCCCTTTTGGTGCGCACAAAAGGTAAATGACAAGCATGCGCAACTGACATTTCTGAGGAGCGCTATAAGTTTCGTTTCCACTAGGACTAGGACTGGTATCTTCAAGGAAGCTCCCCTGCGCCTTCAGGCGCAGGGAGCTTCGTTGAAGAAGCCTGAACCCTTCTGCGTCCGATCGGTATGGCCTACTCCCCCCCACCTTCAGACGTAATAAAGACTCTAGTGACTCTAGTGATGTCGGCCGGAAACCTGCCTGCTTGTTGCCGTAGGCCTTATCAGCGGCATCTGACACCGCCTTGATCAGCTCTTCGGCTTCTATTCGCGGGATGCGTCTTTTGAAGTCTTCCACGTACTTCAGGCCCAACCTTCAAACAAGGTCGAAGCTGGCAGCAATCCCAACGTGATCGGTTCGTCGAGCGAAAAAACCAGAGGACCCAAAGGACAGGTTCTCAAACATGAGAAGTGCGGGAGTGTGCGAAAAGAGGTGCGCGGACGGGTGTGTATGGGTGTGTGTGTACCTATCTCTCGCTTGTGATATATTTAACTCCGGGACGCTGGCAGCGGCTAAGCATGCAGTCCTTCACGTGGGCGCCGCTGGAAAACCTCGCCTGCACCTTGGGGCCTAGATGGCGTAGAGAGGGATGTGAATACTTGTTGAAGGGGTTGAAGGGCTATCTAGTGTTAAAGTCTGTTTTTTTGTTTAGTTGGTTTAGAGTGATCTGCGGGGCGAGGGCGAACCCATTCCGGTCCTTCGGGGTCCGGCGTTTCTCCGGGTTTGGGTGTTATTTTCTTGATTTTTGCTTTGCATGGTTTATGGGGAGAACGGGAGCATGCGACTCCTGTCGGTTTCGGTACGTTGAGCTTCCCCCCGCGGGCGGCTCTTCCCTTGGCGACCGGCAGGGGAATACGGTAACGTGGTTGACCCTAACGTTATCGTGGGTGAGCTGGGTAGGCTTCTTTGCGGGCTGGTCTGTTTGGGTCCTACGGTGTCATCCCAGAAGGTTGGCCAGTTTGACGGGTGTTCTGTTGAGAGGTCGAGTCCACCATGGCTAGGAAGAACCGTTGGTGTGGGGGATCAGCGGCTGTTTGTCTTGCTCATGGGGAAAGGCATCTGGCACAAGCAATGTCACAGCCCTCATATGTAAGTAAAAGTAGGGTGCAAAAACGAAGATTTCGTCAGCAATTCAGATTACAGGCTCGGAGGCGAAAGTTGGCCAAACTTAAGAAACACACTTGTTCAAACAGAGCTCGGGAACGGCGGGTTAAGCTTTTAGATGCCCAATGCAAGGCGGCCCGTAAGTTGAAGCTCTTGACATGGAACACCCGGGGGTGGGGGGCGGTCTACTCGCAGTTTGATCCTGTGGTACGGACCCGGAACATGTTGGATTTTTTGGATTCGAAGGGAGTGGGGCTTGCGGTTCTTATTGATGTTAAGTTTCCTGTCCAAGGACTTCGGAAGTTTCAGAGTGCAGCACAAGAATGGATGGTTCTACGGGTATACCAGCCAGGCGCTAGGTGCCCGGGCTCCCAAGTGGACGCCGAATGACAGCTACATGCTTGTCAACAGGTGGCGGGGGTGGCAAGGGCGGCAAGGGCCGCAAGGGCAAGAAGTAAAGCGCGCTCTGGGAAGGGGCTTGTGCATATTCCCAAGTCCTGTACATGACGGGAGTGCTTTTAACAGCGGTAGTCCCTGCCTTAGTTGTCCAGTTGTCCATACACACCTTTTTTTTTCTTTGTGTTTATTGGCCAACGCCTTCGATGCATCCTGAGTGATCCCATGGATGTATTGCACGGATGTGATGGAGCATGTTGGGGTCAGATCTTCCATTCTC